CTTCCGCAGCAGGCTCTTCCGCAGCAGGCTCTTCCGCAGCAGGCTCTTCCGCAGCAGGCTCTTCCGCAGCAGGCTCTTCCGCAGCAGGCTCTTCCGCAGCAGGCTCTTCGGCAGTCGCTTCGTCTGCAGGTGGGTTTTCAGCAGAGCCCCCTTCCGCGGGAGGGTCTTCTGCCGGGGCTGCCTGAGCAGATGCGTCTTCAACAGCAGGCTCACCAGCAGGTTCAGCTGGAGGCTCCTCAGTTGTGGTAGATGGCTCTTCGGCCGGGGCCTCTTCGGCAGCAGCTGGCTCTGCGGATGTATCCTCGCCCGTAGGAGCTTCCCCAGCTACTGGCTGATCTGGGCTATCATCGGCGCCACTTGAAGTGGGATCTTGCGCCGGCGTTTCCTCCGTAGCTTCTGTTGCCGCTTCCTCTCCACCTCTTGTACCGGAGGCGCCATCGCCCTCAGTACTTTCAGCCGGTTCTTTGTCTTGTTGCTGTTCTGTTTCGGTTGTAGGAGGTTCCTCAGAGGCTCCACCTTCTTTCTCGCCATCAGGCTCAACCTTATCAGGGGCGCTCTCTACACCAGCCTCATCTGATGGAGCCTCCGCGGGAGTTTCTTCTTTGCTGTCCTCTGTGCTTGCCACCGTAGCCTCCTCAGCCGGCTCTGCATCGGCAGCTGGCTCTGCATCAGCAGCTGGCTCGTTAACTGTTTCTGTCGGCTGTTCTTGGGCAGCTTCCGCACTTGGTTCTGAGGAGTCTCCAGAAGGACTTTCTTCCGCATTGCCATCCGGAGGAGGTGATGGGGTATCCGTATCTGCTTCGTTCGGCTTGCTGTCATCGCAGTTCTCCGTCGTGGGTTTGTCCTCGCCATCTGGAGCCGACTCAACTGTATCCGGTTCGACCCCAGCATCGGACATTGCCTTTTCCAAAACTTCAAGTACCTCCGCTGGAGAGGCATCGGCTTTCTGTAGCTTTTCGACCATCTCAACGACCGTTTCTGGCTCCGCCGGCGAGTCTTTGACCTCATCAACACCGGCTGCATCTGCCTCTTCTGAGCCACCACCTCCACCATCGTTATCTGGAGCGGCGGGCGAATCCTCAACTGGAGTCGGTGTTTCGGTGTCATTAGGAGGATTCTCAGAGGTAGTGTCGGCAGCAGTGGTGTCTGATGAGACTGCATTGTCTGGAGATTCTTCAGAGTTCTCAGGGGATGCATCAGGAGTAGGATCACCTGCTTGAACACATGAATTACAGGCATTTGGTCCACCAGGGTTCACCTGAAGCATACCGGCCTCCTCCTCCTTGTTGGGTTCCTCGGGGTCTGTTGACGAGACTGGGGGGTTCTCTTCCCCAGTAGGCTCGTTCCCATCCACCTCAGCGGGAGGTTTGTCCGCGGGGGGGTTTGGTTCTACAATCAAAGTTAGAAGCTTGAAGTCTTGGTGCTTTTTTGGTGGAGCCTCACCGTCCATATCCCCAGCAACCGTTTCTGGCGGTTCAGTCGATGAAGGGGGTTCTGCTACTGGCGTAGAGGTTTGGTCACTCTTCAAGTGCTCGTCAGTATGCGCGCTGCTGAAAAGTATTCGCTCTGGTGGTATTATAGGATGAGATGAATATGTGAGAGTGTTCAGATCAAAAGTCCTATATTGGTATACAGGAAGCTGTGCATACTGAAAAGGGAGTGACCCGGCCATGGTCAAAAGAAGATGTGAGTTGATCGGCCGGAGAATTGTATGCTATAGCGTTCTTATTCTTCTTCTTTCCTCTTTTGTTCTTTCGCATGGCGAGTCAATGGCAAGCCAGGGAATGATCTCGTGAGTGGTCCAAGGCCGAGGGCACCCTGTCACACCTTTGGGCGAAGATCAGGAGCGTGGCGGAGGAATCGGAGACCAGATGACGTGACTTAGGCCGATCGGAGCAATGCGGCAGGGTCAGGATGATGAAGGTCAGGTACACACAGACCGAGGGATTGAGCAAAAGAGAGTGGTTGAGATGCCCATCGGGTTGCCAGACAGAGTCGACCAAGGAAAAGAATGTTGAGATAGAGAGGCATGATCGTTTCCATTGGGACACATTGCGTGCGACGACATGTCCAGAGCACACCCACGACAGTCACCCTTCTCTTGGAAGTACAAATTTCTGCCATTGGGCCACGTCAACCTTCACAAGTGGTGTCGGTGCAAGGAGGACAGAGGTCCAGACGGGAATTAATGCAGAAGCAGTGCAGCCGACAGTGTCGCGAAGCAGAGAGTGAGACCATCAGCGGCTGGGTAGTGTCAGACAACGACCAGCAGTGACTGGAATACCGCAGGCCGCACGACCGCAAGTGGACGAAACGTGCATAGGAGGCGCGGTGATTGGCCGCCGTCAACAGCGGAAGTGGAACATTGATTGATGCCCAACTAGACACCACTGGTCAGCATCGGGAGATATTGCAGGACCGGAAGTACCGTCTCGCGCGGTGCATGAGTAAGACCTTGTCGACGCGCCGAACGATCTAGCTTGCCAGAAGCAACGGAAGGGCCTTGGGTCTGCTGCGAACAGTTCATCGCCGACGTGGAGGCGTTCGTGGCCCTGCGACAGACGACAGATGACTGGCAACAGAAGCATGATCCCTGACTGGGGACTAAGGAGCCACTGGGGAAACGGAGACAGCACGCGGCAGCCAGCGACGGTAGATGGTGGAAGCAAGAGAGAAGCGCAGTCGCAGTCGCAGTCGCAGTCAGGGCGATCAGTGGCAACGGCTTCAACGTCTCTCTCGATGTTGCAGTCCTTAGGCTGAGGTCCGGTGCGAACCGAGAGCGACTCCCGCACCCCGCCTTGGCACCCCTGCCCCTGGTCCTGTGGCCTCGTCCTCCTCGTCCTGCGCTCTGAAGGGTCGCCTCACTTCCAACCGTCTCTGTCACCCTTTTCTCCAGAAGCAAGAAGCCAGGGCTCGAGGGTCTCGGACTGAGGCCAGGCAGGTCGTGCAGATGACATGAGACAGGTCACGGGGCCTTAGGGTCGTGTATCCCTCCTCGTCACATGTGGGACAAGGGACAAGGGACACGGAGATTCTATTGACTTGATTCAACGTGGGATCAGCGTGTTTGTTCGCTTCATGTCTTTATTTGCCCTCCAATGATCGTCATCTAAGTTCTCGGTCTAGCTTTTCTCGCCACCGTGGCCCATATCGCTTCATGGCCCAAATGACCGAGGCGCTGGAAAATGTCCAAAGAGCCAGGATGGTAAACAGCCACCCATTGCCAATGGAGGATATCAAAGGCGCCCCAACGATGCTGCCAATACATGAAAGAATATTTCGACAGAAGTTGTTCAAGGCGACGCCGGCCGACGATCGTTGAGGCATGAACTCGGTCAGCATGGTCGTAGCGATGCCGAAAATGAGCATCGTGCCTATCCCATAGAAAAAGTTCGCGATCATCTAACGCCACCACGTGTCAGTTCTTTGTTGCCTCTGGTACCTGCGTATGCCCGACAGTGACTCACCGGTGCCAGCCAAAAGACCCCATTCTCTACGGTCCAACCATACCAAATCATGGCTGCAGGATAGAGGAAGGCACCCAGCCATGCATTCTCGCGCATCCGATCTTCAGGTCGGAAGATCAACTTCCCCTGCTCGTTGACTCGGTTGGCCTTCATGGCTTCCCGGTGCATGATGGAGTCCATCCACCGACCACCAATTATGCTGGCAAAGAAGTACCCGACCGAGTTGGGCAAGTACAGGAGCCCGATAATGATGGTCGAGAATTGGTATGGTTCTCTTTCAAACGTATACTGTATGCTTACATTCAGGACGTAAAGCGAGCCAAATGTCACCGAAGCATAGTAGACTGTCAATGCCACGGGTAGAAACCTGAGGTATAAGATGACCCTCAGGGGGTCCACGACCATCGTCTTCGTCGCCTTCAGGTACTTCTTCGACCTTTCCTGGACGACCTCCCGCGTCGAAGCCCGACTCAAGTCGGGTCGACTGCCGCGACTTGCCACGGAAGCTGTCTCGGCCGCGAACTCCTCGACAACGGCTTTTCTCCTTTTGAGAGTCTCGGGCAGCGCAAAGAAGACCATAATCCAGGTTAGGACTAAATTGCCACAGTTAGCATCACATGGTCAAGAAACATCCACGTCGATAGCCAGTCGGACTAACCTCCGAGTACGACAAGAGCCCACTGGGTGGCCCTCCAATTCCAGCGTTGGCCTAGAGCACCGCCCACGATGGGCGACACCAATGGACCGCAAAGTGGACCGAGATAGAAAATCCCCATAGCACTGCCTCTCTCCCTCACCTCCCAGATGTCAGCGATGGTGCCTGCTCCGACGGCCTGGACTGACGCTGCAGCTCCGCCAGATAACATTCGCATGATCACAAGCATAGCGATCGACTGAGACACGGCACTCAAGACAGCAAACACGGTGAAGAGAGCAAAAGACACGAGATAGACTGAGCGACGTCCCGAAGCCTCTGAAAATGCGGACCACCACAATGGAAATATGGCCATGCTCAGCATGTACAGTGCGATGGACAGATTGGTCGTAGTCGCTGTGGTGTGAAGCTCAGTGGCCACCTGATCAAGAGTTGCTAGAGAACATGGTCAATAAAACGCCCATGGTGGATAGCCCGGGTACGTGCGTACGAAGGATGATGCCACTCCCAGCCGGGCCTGCAGCGGCGGCAATGGCCACAGTCAAGGTAATAAACCATTTGGTGCGATTGTTGTAGTCTACAGGCTCGGTGACCTCGGCCACGAGGGCAAAGCGCGCGAAGAGACCGCGCCTCTCCGAACGAGGGATCTTGACCAGGGGATTCTTGAGCGTGACAGTCCTTCGCAGCACATCGTTTCCGATCTCGATATCTTGGGGCTCTGCTGCTGTCGAGGGCGTGGAAGGTGTGATGGACGGTGTCGATTGGATGGATCGACTGTCAATTTCCTGCTCTTTGCTCTTCAACCCTCCCGTCGAAGGCGGGCTATACAAGGTATCTCGCGCCACAGGCTCTTTCTCCGAATATGCGCTCGCCATCGAGAAGTACTGAGAGGTGATCGATGTAGGAGGAAGGGGAGGAGGTGGACAAAGGGTCTGCTGCGCAAGTCATCACTCCCCCAGCTTTGGCATGGAACCTGGTACACGAGAAGGGCACAAGCGATTTAAAAAGATGGATCGTCTGGGAAGGAAGTCAATGAGACGGTCGACCGCATATTCCTACCTGAGGCCTTGCACTGGTTTATATCGGAGGACATGGCGGCGCAGATGGCCGTGGCGTAAGAATGGCCGGTCATGATGAAGTGGGCAGGGTAGCGGCAAAGGGCGTGGACCATCATTCAGTGCGGTAAGTAGGGGAGCTTTTGCCATGATCCTCTTCCGTGTCATTCTCCATGGAGAGGAAAGGAACCAATGGTGAGGGCGAGAAGAAGTCCTCGTGTGCCGATTTTGCCGTTTGGAAAAAAGGCAATTGGGGTAGCAGAGCAAGATTGGAGTTGGGGCTGGGACAGTGGACGACCTTTTCGCAGAGACCACGGCCGGCTGCCTCGGCTCCATATCAAACGGATACAGTGTACGATACAACATTGCCGTGGACGTACCTCTGCCAGCATACAGTCATCTAGATAACCGTGCAACCAGGAGCACAATGTATCAAGCTGTCTTGAGGCCATGTTTGGTGGGTACCTGCCTAGGTGCCTGCCTGCGCAGAAAGAGGAACAGAGAACAAAGGGTCAGGGTTAGGGTTAGGGTTAGGGCACAATAGGTGCCCGATCGGTAGCCGAACCTGCCAGGAGGAAGAGCGCATATTGAAGCCATTCGTCAACGTGAGGTGGCGCCCGGCATCGGCACCAGCACCAGCCTCAGGCCTGCGACTACTAGTAGATGTACGGGGTAGAAGTAGCTTGAGAGAGTCGATAGGACGCCGGAAGGGATGATAGTCTCTTCTGTCATGGGGATATGAGACTGTAGTAATGTATTCTGTAAAGGCAGGCACCCATAGGCATTCATATCGGCTAGCACAACAGGCGATGTCCAGAACCACCATTGCTGGTACGTTAGGTATGCATCTGACTATAAACTCCGTCCTCGATTCCTCCACTGCACAGCGCCAGATATGTCTATGACTCCCGGGGCCTGTACAACTACGTATAACAAGATTTCTGCGGGGTCAATGGCTAGCCTAGGGGCTTAAAAGGCTGTTCTCGATAGAACGTCACCTATTACCTCCGGTCCCGTCACACGAAGACAGAGAGCGCAGCGAAGTTGAATCTCTGAGGCTTTGACAGTTGTCTTGCTCATCGTCTATGATACCCTTGCGCCCGAAGACGTCTATCCAGCCCGGTCCTCCTGCTCCTGCATACCGACACAACAGTCTCCCGCCTCGCGTGTCTCGAGCGACAACTCCTCCACAATCCGATTTCCAATAAGGGGATCTGTGATCTGCTGAGTGCGGTAGTTTCATTCTTCTCGGCCCAGTAGTAGCCATGTCCAAGTCCGATAGCAAACCCCTGCGGCGAGATCTCTCCGTCGAAGAAACTCGCGCGGAGCTCCAGCGCCATTTCGCCAACCACAAAGGCTCCAACTACGCCGACGGCTGGGCCGCACTATGGGCCAAAGGCGATTTCCTGCCGTGGGACCGCCTGGCGCCCTCCCCGGCACTGGCAGATACGCTGATCAACCATGCCGATGTAGTCGGCCACGCCATCGTCGATCACGACGGCGAGACGCTGCGGAAGCACGCATTAGTACCGGGCTGCGGAAGGGGGGTCGATGTGCTGCTGCTGCAAAGCTTCGGCTACGATGTCGTGGGTCTAGAGTACAGCCCGGACGCGATCAAGGCGTGCGAGGACTTTGCAAAGGAACATGCGGAAGACTACCCCGTACACGACGAGAAGATAGGCAAAGGAAGCATCAGGTTTGTGCAGGGAGATTTTTATGCTGGCGACTGGTTGGAAAAAACGGGGTTCGAGAAGGATGCGAAGTTCGACCTGATCTATGACTACACTGTAAGTACCCGTTCCATCCCTCTAAACAACGTGGTTGTCGATATCTGCCTTGCCGTGCCACCCCGCAAGTCATCCTGACAACGACACAGTTCTTTTGCGCAATGGAGCCCAGACTGAGACCTGCCTGGGCGAAGAGGATGTCGGAACTGCTTCGACACTCTCCCCAAGCCAATTTGATATGTCTGGAGTTTCCCACCAATAAACCTGCCGCAGCCGGTGGTCCCCCATTCGCCTCTCCCCCGAAGGCGTATATGGAACACTTGAGTCATCCCGGCCAAGAGGTCAAATATGATGCCGAGGGCAATGTCAGGATAAACCCCCTGGCTCCGTCCAGTCCCGGTGCACTTGAGAGAGTCGGACACTGGCATCCCGCAGATACGCATACGATTGGCAAAAACGCCGATGGCAAAGTCGAGGACTACATAGCCATCTGGAGGCATCACTGAACCCATCTCGGTATCAAACATAGTGGACAAAGTGAACTGTCGTCTCTCACCGTGGAAAATAGAAATAGGAGCCAATGGAGCGGGGTCAACTTTTGGCTATCTTTTTCAATGCATTGTAGTGCTCACCAAGACCAAAACTGTGTCGATAGTATGCCAGCCAGACCTCCTGCGAATCTTCTTTGGCAGCCGAGCCAGAGCTGATCTTCTCAACCCTCCCGTCGGCCTGGAGCACATTGATGTCGACGTCGTAGGCCCGAGCAATGGCTTGCAACTCCAACTGTCCGCCCCATTCCGCAGTGTTGCGCATCGTCTTCACATAATCATCAAGAGGCTCTTCCAAGAAAGGCGCAAAGTCGTCCGGGTGTGTCGCCATGAACTCGGTCGCTGCAAATCTGACGTTGCGATAGGGTTCCTTATGCGGACCAGACTTGGAGACGAGCTCGGGAGACAAACTGTGTGCACATGCGGAGAACAAGCAATGGCCGTCTGGTCGAATGAGAGTCTCTGACAATCCCAGGCTCTCCATCTGCTTCTTCATTGACGCCATTTCTTGTTTGCGAAGGTCGGGCAACTTCTCGGCCTCCAGCGCTGCAGCGGCCGCTTGGGCTTCCTGTTCGGCGGCTCTTCGAGCCAGTCTTGCTTTCTGCCTGTTTGGTTTCTTCGGCCGTGTCTGGTCTGCAGCCAGGGTCGGAGCAGTGTGGCCTTGCGCGGCTTCGCTGGATGTAGTCTCAATCTCGCCATTGACCTTCTCAATTGGTTCATCGATAGCCAGAGCATCAAGGGATGGCTCGAGTCCCTCGTCATTCTTGCCTTCTAAAGCGTCGATCTCTGCCTTCTGCCTCTCACCCAGCTCTCGCTCCAATTGCTCGCACTCGTCATTGACCCCTTTTCTCGTTTTCTTGGTGGCGTTCTTTTTCTTCTGCGTGATCCGAGACTGAAGATCGCGCCGCTCTTTTCGGTGACGGGCCAGAAGCTCTTCCATTTCCACGTTGAAAGAGTCCTGTGCTGCCATTGCGATCGTTTAGTCGGGTTCACCTACAGCATGACATCCTGTTCGCTCAAGTACGGGGCGCTTTGGGGCTGTCTCGCAACCACGAGGAGGCCTGCGATGATGCTCCTTTGTGTGTGTATGTTGATTGCACTTGCTTCTGTGCTGTTGACCCTATTCGGTGGAATAGTAGGTCTCGCGGGCGACAGATCCTATCTATAGGTACCTAGTATGTACGCACACACAGACACAGGACTTCTTCAAATTCATGCCCAGGGGCCGGGATCGCAAAGAGGCACGTGCGACCCAGTCTTGGCGCTTCAGGTGTCTGACTTGGGTGACGCAGCGGCTCCCCATCCAGGCAGTTGACACCGCCCACCTCCCGCCCACGCGTTTGACATTGAAACAGGCTACGAAGCGCCAGAACATCTGAGCGGCTAGTAAGCAGCATTAGCATCCTGTATTTGGACATCGCACTCGATTCCACATATCCTGTGGCTTCTATTTTCTATATCAGCACCCTGGAAGACCGTGCTACTGGCCAGGTCTTACACGCCTTTCCGCCCCCACCTCGAACTACGATCACCACGCTCGCCCGTTGTCAGCACCAGCCAACTCTATCGTTCAGCCGCACCGCTGAAAATCTGCCAGCCCAATCTGTCCTACCTTGTCTTATAAGACGCGACCGAACTCTCTCCTCTATTTCTCTCTCCCTAACCAAACCGTCTCTCCGTGCTCCGGTCGCAGTCAAGATCAAGGCCATATTACGATAGCCACGACCAACCATGGGGGATCTAGCAGGACGTAAGGTCTTCAAAGTATTCAATCAGGATTTCGTCGTCGATGAGAGGTATACTGTCACAAAAGAGCTGGGTCAGGGTGCATATGGAATCGTTTGGTATGGTGGTTATGGTCATCGCTATCCCTGCCCGCAGTGTCGCTGACCAGCCGTAGCGCTGCCACGAATTCGCAGACAGGAGAAGGCGTGGCCATCAAGAAAGTGACCAATGTCTTCAGCAAGAAGATCCTCGCAAAGCGAGCGTTGCGCGAGATCAAGCTCCTTCAACACTTCCGTGGCCACAGAAATGTTAGTACTTCTCAACCATGTGAAGCGCAAGCCTGAACGAGTGTAGATTACCTGTCTGTTCGACATGGACATTCCCCGCCCGGACAACTTCAATGAGACCTATCTTTATGAAGGTGTGTTTGTCTTTGTCCCTGCTAGAGAGGTTGACTGACGCAATCTAGAATTGATGGAATGCGATCTGGCTGCTATCATCAGATCTGGCCAACCGCTGACAGATGCCCATTTCCAATCCTTCATATACCAGATCTTGTGTGGCCTCAAATACATCCACTCGGCAAATGTGCTCCACCGAGATTTGAAACCTGGAAATCTGCTGGTCAACGCTGACTGCGAACTGAAAATCTGCGACTTCGGCCTGGCCAGAGGCTTCTCGCAAGATCCCGAGGAGAATGCTGGGTACATGACAGAATACGTGGCGACCCGATGGTATCGTGCGCCCGAGATCATGCTGAGCTTTCAGAGCTATACCAAAGCTAGTATGTCAGTTACCAGTCTCGGATTGAACACACACTAACATGGCCGGTAGTTGATGTCTGGTCTGTTGGCTGCATTTTGGCCGAGCTGCTGGGTGGCCGGCCCTTTTTCAAAGGCCGTGACTACGTCGATCAACTCAACCAGATTCTTCACTACCTGGGCACTCCGAACGAGGAGACGCTATCGAGGATAGGGTCTCCCCGGGCTCAGGAGTACGTTCGGAATCTCCCTTTCATGCCTAAGATCTTGTTTCAGAGATTGTTCCCTACAGCGAACCCCGATGCACTTGACCTCTTGGACCGAATGCTAGCATTCGATCCCTCGTCTCGTATTTCGGTGGAAGATGCTCTTGAGCACAGGTATCTCCACATTTGGCACGATGCTTCCGATGAGCCTGCTTGTCCCAAGACATTTGATTTCGCTTTCGAGGTGGTAGAGGACGTCCAGGAAATGCGCAAGATGATCCTCGACGAGGTGATGAGGTTCCGCCATCATGTGCGCCACCAACCTACTCAGACGCCGACCACGAATATGGCAGTGCCGATTCCCGACAATCCTAAAGAATGGAGCCATGAAGATCCAAGACCACAAGAAGCAGGTGCGGTCGTTGGTAATGATCTTGAGCACGAATTGCAAGCAGGTGCGGACATGTTGATGAGACGATAGACGTTGAGCAGTCAACCCCAGGGGTTCCAAGTGTTGGACGAGACTTCCGCAGGACGAATGATGGACTCAAATACAATGCAGGCGAAATGTTTCTTTCCTCTCCAGACTGCGTTCGCCGAACTTCTCCGTGCCATTTTGTGTAGTCTTACTGGTATATTGCGGTACGTAGGTAGTGCTGAATGATAGCGGCGGGGAACATTGATGTATTCCGTAAACCTTCTCCATACTATGGGCCAGACGACCTGCCAAAAGAACACAAGCGTAAGCAGGGAATGCGGACATCGGAGCCTCCAACAATCAATCCACCAATTCAAAGCACCCGGGTAAACGAACAACCCCGATGGACTGCTTCAAGTTCCCATCAGAGAGTCAAGCATGACTCGGCGCTGTGGTCTATACACACCTCTAGTGCCTTGATTACCGTTTCCTATCTAACAGTCTCACACTCTGTAAGAGACGTGGCAGAACTTGCGCCTCGCTTTCTCTCATTATTACCCCTCATCCTCGTCTCAGACTGCGCGCTGCCGCTACGAAGCCATACTCTCTGCAAAGATGGCCTCGACAGTCAAACATCTGAAGGCGGAAGCCGTGTTTCCCATTGCTGGTGGCCCGTTCATTCAGTTCCCCAGTAGGAGAAGTGTCGTCCACAGCACCAAAGGGATTGTGGCCTGCACGCAACCTCTGGCTGCGGAGGCGGGGCAGCGAATCCTGAAGATGGGAGGGAATGCAGCGGTAGGTACAGCAGCTTTCATTAACAAGCAATCGAAACTAACAGAGAAATGCAGGATGCTGCCGTAGCCGTCGGTATGTCCTCGGGTCGCCTTTCCACACACTGTCTAAACTGTTGGCATAGCCGCTGCGTTGAACATGACGGAGCCATCTTCAACGGGAATAGGAGGAGACATATTCTGTTTGTACTTTGATGCCAAAACCCAAAAGGTCCATGCCCTCAATGGCTCGGGAAGAAGTCCTAAAAACACCACGGTCGAACAAATCAGAGGGGAGCTCGGTGTGTCCGCTTCCACGCGAGTCAAGATTCCCAGCCACAGTGCACTCGCCGTCACTGTGCCTGGTGCTCCCGCTGGATGGGTAGACACGGTAGAGAAGTTCGGCAGTGGTAAGTTGAGCCTGGAACAGATCCTGACCCCTGCCATTGAGCTTGGGGAGGGAGGCTTCCCGGTCAGCGAGCTCTCTGCAACATTTGTGAGTGCGAGGCGAACGTCGGGCTGGTAACGACAAAAGCTAATAACCCGTTGAAGTGGCAAGCTGGCGAAGAGGACCTGAAGCGGGCGTCACCCAACTTTCGAGAGTTGCTCAAGAGAGACAAGAATGCGTCACAATTTGCCCGGGCCCCGCGCCCGGGTGAGATCATTCGAAACCCAGCATTGGCGAAAACATTCAGAGCCTTGGCCACCGAAGGAAAGAAGGGATTCTACACCGGACGCATTGCCCAAGCGATCGTCGACGTCCTGAAGTTGACCGGTGGATACATGGAGCTGTCTGATTTGGAAGACCATATGAATCAAGGGCCACACGAGACCAAACCCATCTCGTTGAAATTCCGCGGCCAGAATATCAGCAACACGGCACCACAAAGAGTGGCCAATGGCAGTGCGGATGGGCATTTCGTCGAGCTCTGGGAGCATCCTCCCAATGGGCAGGGTATAGTGGCTCTGATGGCTCTGGGCATCCTAGAAGAGCTCGAGCGGACGGGGAAGATCCTAACGTTTGCACAAGAGGACCACAACAGTGCGCCGTACCTGCATGCCGTGATTGAGGCTCTTCGCATAGCTTTCGCCGACGCTAGTTGGTGGGTGACGGACCCTGAACATTCGCCGGTTAAACCAGAAGAGTTGATTTCCCGGCCATACCTCGCCGAACGGGCGAAGCTCTTCGACAAGGACAAGGCCCAAAACCATACCAACGGACAGCCGGGACCCAGCCCTGCCCAGAATCACAGCGACACGGTGTACTTTGCGGTGACTGACAAGGACGGAAACGGCATGAGCTTCATCAACTCCATCTACGAGGGGTTTGGATCCTCTATCATCCCACAAGGGTGTGGATTCACCCTGCAGAACCGCGGGTCAAACTTTAATCTAGGCCCGGATGACCATCCTAACATCTACAAAGGCGGAAAGAGACCTTACCACACCATCATCCCAGGAATGATCACCCACGGCGAAGAGTCCGAACGAGCTCTGCACTCTGTGTTCGGAGTTATGGGTGGTTTCATGCAGCCGCAAGGGCACGTGCAGGTTCTCCTGAACATGGAGGTGTTTGGGATGAACCCCCAGCAAGCGTTGGATGCACCAAGAATATGCATCGCCGCGGGAGTCCCGACAGGAGGAGATAAGCAAATAGGCGCGGTGTTTGTTGAGGAAGGAATCGACGAGACGGTAGTCAAGGTACTGGCGCAGATGGGCCATGACGTGCAGGTGGTCAAGGGATGGGAGAGAGGCATATTCGGTCGAGGCCAGGTCATTAGGAGACATGTGGATGAAGAGTCTGGTCTGGCGGTGTTTAGTGGCGGTAGTGACATGAGGGGGGATGGATGTGCTCTACCTGCATAGAAGGGGAGGTGTCTAGAAGATAGATAAGCGCAATAGCTACCATAGAGAAAGGAAGAGGTGGTTGACAAGGCTGTGGTTGGACATTGAGGTGGTTGGTCAAGGCTCATGAGGCCTGAGGCCCGTTCAGCCACAAGGCGCAGGCGAAGTCACCTGTTTCGGACTCTGGCACCCAGCACCTAGCATCTTTACAGTATCAAACATTTCTCCTGCTTTTCCTTCAATCTTTCGCCAACAGCACCAATTAGTGGTGCCGAATCTGCCTTCTACCCTCCAGAAGGGCCGTCGAACGGCAATTACAGCGCGCGAGATCGATTTGGCCCCCTCCTCGTCCGTCCTCATCTTCCTTGCCTCCCAGTAACCTCGTCTCCCATGGGTTGCTCCAGCTACATTGCTATCTCTGCCGCTAGCGATTCTGTTTGACCGACCTACCCTAAATAGTCAAGCGCGCGATGAGGCAACAGCCAATATCATAGCCTAGGAGCCCCAGACCGGTGGCGGTGGCGATAGAGAAAAGAGGTGATCAGCATTTCCGAACAAGCTCAAACAAGCTCGCGATGCATTGGGTTTGCCGCTACCGCTATCTTGAGTGGGGGACGTTACGTTCCGCGGCATCCTTGAGATGCGAAGGATGCGCCCACGCCCCAATTGTCCTCTGCATTGTTTTCAACCCTCAGTCTCTAGACAGCTACAAAGATGTTGGTCTGAAAATATGGGTGATGTAACCGCTTTCCCTCTCACAGCAGAATTGATGGGGTTCTGCTTGACCTTAACCAGAGGATCAAAGACACACAAAGCGCTGGCGCTGCGGTCCGCCTGTCGGTAGGTTACAACAAACATGGATCCTTTATCTCACCAGGCACACGATCTCGCGCTGGACGAATCAACACCCGAAATCGATTAGCCCTCGAGTGATTGCTTCCCCGGACTGCCCGTTCCTATCCCGGGTGCCCTGTTTTCAGCGCGTCATCGGCCGGGTCAAAATATGCATCGCTTATGCTCACACGACGTCGCATTCGCAGCTCATCCGTCTTTCATGGTAAGCAGATCCAACCATGTTCGGTTCTCGTCAGGGTGCGTCTGCCTAACGACTTTACTTTCTTTATCGTTCAATCACCTTCCTGTCCTACCCTGCATGGTTACTGTGATGTGGAGAATGGTTCCATCATCGACCGTCAGGGAAGCTCGAGCTGTCCCTCAGCTACCCTGAGCTGTTCTCAGCTATGAGGGGCAGCTTTGCCATTTCTTTTCCCTTTTACTGCTATTGTTCCATTCTCTTGTTGTCGGCTAGCCTGCGCTCACGATCAGGTCTGTGGGTTGCTGTATTTGTCTGCAAACATGAGGCTTTCAATCGTTACTCTGGCCTGGGGCCTGCTTTCACTCGTTGCAGCACGTAGAAGCGCTCAGCACGTCGGCAAGAAGCTTCCGGAGGTCAAGAGGAACATAGCATCTCGAGCCCCTCGGGTCGCTGCGCAGCCCGAGAAGAGAGCAGTCCATTCTTTCTTGACGAATTCGACTAAAAGTACGTTGGCGAACCGAAACTTCCTCACCGATGGTAATTGACAATTCCCAGAATATGCGGTCAATGGCAGTGCCATTCCCGAAGTTGACTTTGACATTGGCGAGTCCTACGCCGGCCTCATACCCATCTCGAACGCGACAAATGCATCCGAGCTGTATTTCTGGTTCTTCCCCTCGACAAACCCGGCTGCCAGCAATGAGATCCTAATCTGGCTCAACGGAGGTCCTGGATGCAGCTCGCTGGAAGGATTGCTTCAAGGTACATTTGCAGCGTCAGCCCCGACGACTTCTGTTTCTGACTATGACAGAAAACGGGCCGTTCTTGTGGCAATACGGGACATTCAAACCGGTGCCGAATCAGTGGGCGTGGACGAATTTGACTAACGTAGTCTGGGTGGAACGTGAGTCTACTTGTTCGGGCTGTTCGTGTGTGTTCAATGCAGACTGATGAAACCTACACAGAACCGGTCGGCACTGGCTTTAGTCAAGGCACGCCTACAGCGACGTCGGAGGCAGACGTGGCTTCGCAGTTCCTGGGCTTCTTCAAAAATTTTGTCGATACATTTGCCCTGCAAGGCTATACCGTCTACATCGCCGGCGAGTCGTACGCAGGCTACTATGTCCCTTACATCGCCGATGCCATGTTCAATGCCAACGACACAGACTACTACAATATTAGCTCGATCCTAATCTACGACCCGAGTTTAAGCTACGATGTTGTTCAGGAATATATCCCGGTGACGGCGTTTGTGGACTTCTGGGGCCCCATGCTCGACCTGAACGCCAGTTTCTTGGAACAGCTCCACAACAAGTCGGACGCGTGCGGCTACACGGCGTTTTTGGATGAGTACCTGGCCTTTCCTCCCAAGGGACCTTTACCAACTCCGCCCAACGTCGATCTCAGCGACGAATCCTGCTACACGTTCGATGACGTTTTTAACGCAGTATCCCTGGTCAACCCGTGTTTTGATATCTACGATATCTCGACGACATGCCCACTTTTGTGGGATGTACTCGGCTTTCCTGGGTCGTTTGACTATGTTCCCGATGGCGCGTTCATCTATTTCAACCGCACCGACGTGCAAAAGGCGATCAACGCTCCGGTGCAGGAATGGGCGGAATGCACCAACAACGACGTGTTCGTGAATGGGACCGACAATTCACTGCCATCTACTCTGAGCGTGCTGCCGGGAGTCATTGAACGGGCAGACCGGGTAATCATCGGCCACGGACTGGCTGACATGATTCTTATCTGGAACGGGACTCTGCTGGCCACCCAGAACATGACCTTCAATGGTGGCCAGGGGTTCTCGGTGCCGCCGTCAGACTGGGCCGAGTTCTATGTTCCTTATCACACCGAGTACGAGAATCAGTTGGGGACCCTTGCCGGAGCGGGGGTCATGGGCCAGTATCACACCGAACGAGGCTTGACTCTGGTCACGGTTGACCTTTCTGGCCATATGGTGCCTCAATATGCGCCATCGGCCGCGTATCGGCAGCTTGAGTTCCTGCTGGGGCGAATACCGAGTTTGGGAACTGTTGGGCCATTCACGACGTTACCGGATGACAGTTATTAGAGCATCGAGTGATGAGGTGAGGAAGGCTGCTGATGGAGGTTGAGGTATAAACGTGAGTAATGTCGAACGAGAAGATGTCTGACAGAAGAAATATCCGAGACCTGGTAGGCTCATAGTACTTGACCCATATCAGAGTGCTGAACGCACACAAATCAAGATGGTAATGGTGACAATAGGTCTGCTATATGACGTCCCGTTGAAGCGAGTTGGGAAATATCATCTTATCTATGTAATCGTATCTTATCTAACAATCTCGCCCGTTTTGGGGTAGGCAGGCAGCTGCAACATCGTCCAACATCGTCCACGACAGTAGCAGGAAGTAAGTCTTCTCCCATCAAGCGTCCTCAGCCAGGCAGAATGTAGGAGGCAGGTCTCACCAGGTCAGATTCATTGAGTCTTAGCAACCCATTCGAAATACTCACTGTCAAGGCGGCCTTCGACTGAAGCGTCCCACGTCCCACCAGCTGAGTGCTCCCCACATTCGACATTCGATCGTGGGGCAGTTTAACAGGTCCCCATTGCCATGCCATGACTGCATGACTGACTACCCGTCGACGTAGCGGAGGTCAACCCGCTGCTGCTGCTGGCTGGTCTACCGGAGAACACGGTGGTAGCGGTGGCACACCAACTCCGAAAGCCAGTTCGCCACGAAGAGAACAGAGAACAATATCTCGAAGTCATGTGACCGGCCAAACACGGTGTTTGTGAAGGCCGTGGGGAGAGGCCATCGGCAAACACCGGCCAATCTTGGAATCTTCGCGACGCGGACCACTGTGCCACTGTGGATGTTCACTGGGGCGGGGGATGAGCTGCAATTCATCATCTATAGAGTACGCCGTACTTACCAGGCCTACCGCGAATCCCTTCCTCTGCATGTTAGCTGAGTGACTACGGAGTACGGATACTGACAGGGCAGATCGAACCCCGGCCTCCCATAAAGCCACAAAGGCTAGTCGTGGGGTAAGTGGCGCCAGGCTTCAGGCTGGATCGGCTGTTTGCTCGACATATTACCCTATAAATATCTATTTAGCTGGCCCAATCGAACAACTGCAACTATTGCTTGCCAGATTCCTACCTACGCACCACTCGTACAGAACGAAGTCGCCATTGTTTGATCAAGCCAGAAGCTTGACGGCCACTGCAGAGTACAAAGACAGAGTCCACTTTATCACCCAGATTCGACCACTTGATCCGGGGCCCGGCCCACAGGCGAAGCACGGCAATCGGTGGAACTTGATCTGCACGGCGCAATTTTGGCTAGGCTACATCATCGTAAGCATTCGACCGTGGCGGAAAATACTCCGATTTAGGTACAAGTACATGAACCACGATTCTGCCATCACTGCGCATCATATCACAACCACATTTTGTTGCCATTCCCATTCACACCATGAATTCGCTCGCCGACCTCAAGCATAACCTCACGGAGGAGAAGATCCACAACCAAGAGAAAGAAGAGGTACGTTGGCCTCGGGCTGCCCCGCATGTGCCTTATCCCGTCGTCTGGCCGCACGTGCATGTGATCGTTCCTAACGTGATGTCGTGGACAGCCATCCAATGGTACCGTCACGCGAGAACCGTCGCCCAACCGCGGGGCCTCAGTGCGCGATGTCGAGGCCATCGGACCGGACTCGGAGTCGAAACGAGAATGGCAGAAGAAGCGTGGAATTGATGTGTCGAAACAAGTCAAGATCGTCAAACTCAGTCATATGCGCTACCAGCACCCTGACCTGAACAAGATCACGACTTTTCTGCGAGGTGAGTGGGCTTTCTGCCTGGAAGCTAGGAAGGAGGGTCTGGTCTGGCGGCAGTTATCTCGACCAGCCTGTGGCCTCTTCCGTCTAAGGCTCATGAATGCTAACGCGGTGACAGATTTCGGCATGCATGTTGTGAAGAAAGGCCCCAACGAGCGATGGTATCGCGGCTACGGGCCCGACCAATACGTGTACTATGCCAAGCAAGGCCCCAAGAAATATCTAGGCGGAACTTTCGAGGTTGAATCGCGGGCCGAGTTGGAAAAGGTCTTGAAGCTGCCTGGTGCCACTGTGCTGAGTGACGGGATCGAAGAGTTAAAAGACGCCCCTGGCGGTGGCTATCTGGTGACGATTGCAGACCCCGAAGGGTTCCCGGTCAATTTCATCTACGGCCAAGCGGCGATCACGGAAGAGAGGAAGAGGCCGACCAAGTTGGTGTTCAACGACGAGAGCGACAAGCCGCGGCAGAAGAGGTTCCAACGATTCGAGCCTGGGCCGGCCGAGATCCACAAAGTAAGTCCTGATCAGCGACACCTACCTCCCTCTCCCTGGCCAGGGATCCAATCGCACATTGTGCTCCCCGTTGATTGCTTGTGTCTGTGTTTGTCTGTGACTGACTCTGATGTTTTCGTGCTAGTTGGGTCACTTTGGCCTGAATGTGGAGAACTTCCCGGCCCAACTGGACTGGTACACGCGACACTTCAACATCGTGCCCAGCGACATTCTGTACGTGCCGCTCGACAAGATCGACCCGGAAACCAACCAACCGGCCCGCAAGCAAGTGGCGCTGTTCGCCTGCATCGACCGCGGCCAGGACCTGGTCGACCACCACACGGTTTTCTTCACCAGCCTGAGCCCCGGGGTGGAGAAACACGTGCACCACTGCTCGTTCGAGGTGCACGACTTCGACACCCAAGCGCTGGGCCACCAGTGGCTCGCGGAGAAGAAGTACGAGTCGGTGTGGGGGGTCGGGAGACATATTCTGGGCTCCCAGATCTTCGACTACTGGTGGGACGTCACCGGGTTCATGGTCGAGCATTATGCCGATGGCGATCTCGTCAATGAGGACACTCCGGTCGCGTACGGGCCTGCCGGCCACGAAGGGTTGGCGGTTTGGGGGCCAGAGGTGCCACAGGCATTTTTGGAGTAATTGAGTCGGCCACTCTCGCTCTGATATTATTATATTAGGAGAGGGAGGGTTATGGTTTCCACGTGGGTGAATGTACGGTACTTGGATACGATTACGATTACCGTAAGGCTGATACCTAAAGGGGAGGGCTTAGGTCTGCAAATTAGCCCTGACACCTCCCGTTCTCCCCCATGCCCTTGGTAAAGAAAGGCGCCTCGCCGACAATATGCACCATCAGATTTCGACCATCCAATGAGACACTGATTGGTGCTCGTCCCGTTCATTCATATCAATCAACGCGATGACACGCCACAGCTCTGTTTGGGGTTTGATTGCACACTCGCTTCTAACTGTGCTCCGTACTCTATTGCATGGCAGCCACTTCAGTGTTCGACTCGAAATGTCATGTCGTGCTATACAGGATGAATCTGACCAACTGTCATGTTGCAGGAGGTCGAGGGCCTTCTCTACGGATAGATCAACCCCTCTGGCCTCTGGAGAGCTTTGCCGCGTATACATAGGTATATAGACAGACACACACAAAGATCTTGGCTTGCTTGCTTGAGGACTGTGACTTCGACTTCGACTCAGACTCAGAATCTGTCTCAGACTTCGACTTCGACTGACTCCGACCCCAATTCCCTTCCCAAGAAGTACGAGTCAGTGGGTGTTTGACAGATTTTCCTTCTCAAGAAGTCCGAGTCAGTGGGTGTTTGAACACCCCCGCCGGATCCCTGGTCTCATCATCACCCCATTCGGCTTTCCAGCCATGCTCGTGCAGGTAGACTTTCCATTTATCGTCCTCGCTGTCTAAATGCTTGTCGGCATCCTGCAGCAGGAAGAAGGCCAGGAGGGCACCGAGAATGGCGAACGAAGATCCGATCAAGAAGGCCACTTGGTTTCCTTTCTCTGGATCGTCGCTGTACGCGTTCAGAATGGCGGTGAAGACCTGTGAGATTGATTAGTCGTCATGGTCACGCTAGAGATATAGTATGGGGTATAGGGTATAGGGTAGACGCTGGAGGTAGGGTAGACACTGGAGGTATAGGGTAGACGCTAAAGGTCAGATATCTTAGATCCTTACAAACATACCTGGGTTCCAATGGCAGCGCCCGCTTTGGACCAAGCGGCAATGAAGCCGGTGGTGTGGCCTCGGATCGAGGTAGGAAATGGCTCGGAGGCAGTGATGGCAACGGTGCTAAACGAAAGAAAGAACCATAATATCAGTATCAGAACCGGACACGACAGGACATTTATATGGTGCAGTTCAAGGGGTTCGGCTTTTGGATCTCTTCCACTTACCTCCCAGGGCCGACTTCTCCCAAAGTCAAAAAGATGCCGTACATGACGACGAACAAAGGAAAGACGCGCTGGATGGGCTTGTTGGCGCCACCGAGGATAAACCCCAGGATCCCCTGCAGGGCAAAGCCCAGGGCCATGGTTTTGCGTCTTCCGATGCGGTCGGACAGCAGGCCGCCGATGAACGGGCCCGGGATGTAGAAGGCGTTGATGATGACGCCCCAGCCCAGGGTCTTGACCAACGAGTTGGACGGGTTGACGCGGGACACGATAGTGGAGCTGAAGATGCCAAAGGGGATGCTGATCCAGTTGTAGAGAAACCAGGTGGCAGAGCCGCCGAGGAGACGTCGCCAGTATCGCTTGCCGATCAGATGGTAGGGGATCTTCTGCTTGCGCAGACTCGACTTGCGGTACGCGGTCGACACGGTCATGCGCATGCGAAACCAGAAGATGGACAGCGGCGGGATCAGGCCCAGGGCAAACGACAGCCGCCACACCAGCTCATACTTGTCTTGTTTCTGATGCACGCACAGCAGCAGCAGGAGCGGCACCAGCGCGCCAAAGCAGTAGCCCAGCGACGCCGACAGATCGCCTACCAGGGCGAACATGAACCCTCGCGTCTTGCGGTATTGCGCGCCTTCGTCTGACGCCTCCAATGCACCGGCGACTGTGGGGTCTGTCAGTAGCAGATTCCCGCGGTGTCCATTCTTCCGAAAAAGACTAAACTAGATGGAGAGTGGAGGGAAGGATGGAGAAAAGAATAGAGGGAACGATGCTGGGAAGGATGGACTATGAACGATGGAAGAGAATGACCCACAAGATACAGGATACTCTCCTCCCGCACCCACCCCGGCCACGCCTCGAGCCACGATCAGCATCCACATGAGCCCTGTTGGAGAAGTGCCATTGGCGGCAGTGCTCAACACGATGCCGAGCACGAGGAGGGCCGTGGTGGCCACCGCCCCGGTCTTGCGCCCCAGCTGGTCGGCGACGAACCCAAAGGCCAACATGCCAACGATCATACCCACCAGGAAGGCGTTGGAGAGCCGAGAATACATGGAGTTGGTCAACGCGTCGGGGTAGAGCACGGCGAAGAGGAGCTCGACGTTGCCGATGACAGAAGCATTGCTAATAGAGGATGAGCGGTTAGAACCTTCACACCACTATTGAAGGGGAGGGGAGCAAGGAAGCTCCAACCCGACCAGCAGCACAGAGCGGGAGACAGAGGTGCGGTGCTCAATGGCCAGAAGCAACTTACTATCCATCTGACCCGACGGCAAGGCCGGCAAACAGCATCATCAAATACACGGAGATCTTGCTGTAGTATTTCTCCTCGACGCGATGCACTTGCCCCGTCTCAACCTCGCCCTCGCCTTGGGTGACCTCGCCACTGGAGGCCACCATGGTCAATTTGGCGCCATCGTCGGCCCCAGGGCCGTGGGACGGCGATTTGCCCTTGGGCCCGACCTCGATCGTCTCGTCCGACATGGCTGGTCTGGTCTGGTCTGGTGGCTGTGTTGTTTATCTGTCTCCGGAATGTTGCGTTGGGGGATTCGGGAGTCGGGAGCGTTGGTCTCTTGCCGAACAAGATACTGTGGTGCTTCTGGAGCGAAACGGGGAGAAGCCAGGGGAACAAGATATCGTCGACACCTACACAGCAGAGCGAAGTGTACCACTACAGCTATCCGTATAGTAAGTACATCGAAAGACAAGCCATGCGAGTCGAGTCGAATCGAGCCTACCTGACGGCCAGCCCAGAGGTTGATATGCAACTGACATGGACGCGGCCACAGTCACCATCGACCAGGATGTTGTCCAGGTCGAACGGGAGACCGGCGCCGCATCCGGTCACATGAATTGGTCAGACTCTGTCTTATCTACAGTAGCAGTACCAGAGATAGGTACACTTGGTACTGTCCTGGGGGTGGCTAGTGGCCAGTCCTCGGCACAGGCTGACATCTCCGTTATGGATACGGAGGTCGACTCCACCTACAGATAGGGACAAGGGACAGGGGATAGGGATAGGGAATTGATACCTATCTACGGCTACTGGACGATACAGGCAGTTCTGTATCAACGGCATGCATGGCCTTTCTTCGGCGCCGGTCCCGGTGCCGTGCCGTCAGACATGCATACTGTAAGTACCACCAACGTCAGCTCATCTCTCTCTCCAGCGAGTATTGCGAAGCGGTTGGCTGATGGTGTGAAGGCTCAAAAACTACAGTACAGTATTATCGAGTAGCTCAACCGGATGGTGCTGCAGGCATCTCGATCCTCATCAACGTTTGGACAAGACACCTACAACTGAGCTTTCTTTCGACCCTGCCATCGGCAGTCTGCAGTCTGCACCCTGTACTCTGTCACCATGGCGTCAAAGCCAGGTCAGAAAATCCGCGTGGACGAGCATGTCCCGATTCCTCTGTCGGACGGGATCGTGCTCTCGGCGCAGATCTGGCGACCGGAGAGCTCTTACGCAACCGGCACGGCGACGTCGACGCCGGTGCCCGTACCGGCCATTCTCGAGTATCTCCCGTATCGAAAACGGGACTACACGGCGCCGCGAGACGCGCTCAACCACCCGTACGTGGCGAGCCACGGGTATGCGTGCGTGCGGGTGGACATGCGCGGGACGGGCGACTCGGAGGGCCTCCTGCACGGCGAGTACCTCAAGCAGGAGCAGGACGACGCGCTGGAAGTGTTGAGCTGGATAGCCGGGCAGGAGTGGTGCACGGGATCGATCGGCATGATCGGCATCTCCTGGGGCGGGTTCAACGGGCTGCAGGTGGCGGCGCGACGGCCGGCGGAGCTGAAGGCGGTGATATCGCTGTGCTCGACCGACGACCGCTACGGCGACGACATCCACTACATGGGCGGCTGTCTGCTGGTGGACAACTTCCTCTGGGGCGCGACCATGTTCAGCATGAACCCGCTGCCGCCCGACCCGGCGCTGGTGGGCGACCCCAAATGGCGAGAGCTGTGGCTGGCCCGTCTGGAGGCCGGCGGCCTGTACATGGTCGACTGGCACCGGCACCAGCGCCGCGACGAGTTCTGGACGCACGCCTCCGTCGGCGAAGACTACAGCGCCATCCAGTGCCCCGTCTACCTGGTCGGCGGGTGGATGGACCCCTATTCCAACACCATTTTCCGCATGCTCCAGCACCTGCAATGTCCGCGCAAAGGTCTGGTCGGGCCCTGGGCACACAAATACCCCAACTTCGCCCAGCCGGGCCCGGCCATCGGCTTCTTGCAGGAGTCCGTCCGCTGGTGGGACAAGTGGCTGAAGGGCGTCGACACCGGCATCATGGACGAGCCCGCCCTGCGCTGCTATCTCCAGGACACCGCCCCGCCGCAGACGCACTACGACTTCCGCCCTGGCCATTGGGTCGCCGAGTCCGTCTGGCCCAGCCCGGCCGTCACGTCGCACCCGCTGGGTCTGGCCCCGGGCCGGCTCACAGACACAGACCCACAGCACGAGGCGGTGTTTTCTTCTCCGTCTCCTTCTCCTTCTCCGTCTACCACCTCTGCATCTGGCGCAAGAGGCGTTGACCCACCTCCACAACTTCTGACCATATCCTCCCCCCAGACGGTCGGCCTGGCCTCAGGCAGATGGTGCGTGTTCGGGCTTGACGCCGACGAGCCCGGCGACCAGCGCCAGGAAGCGGGCGGGTCGCTCGTGTTCGACAGCGAGCCGGTGACGTCGCCCATCGACCTGCTGGGCCCGGTGGTGCTTCGTCTCCGGGTGGCCAGCGACCAGGCCAACGCGGTGGTGGCGGCCGTCGTGTCGGAGGTGCTCCCCGGCGGGGCAGCAACGCGGATCTCATGGGGGCTGCTCAACCTGACGCACCGCAACAGCCACGTCGACGTCGAGCCGCTGCAGCCGGGCCGGTTCTACGATGTGGAGATCAAGCTGAACGAGCTGGGCCAGCGCCTCGGCGTCGGGAGCCGCCTCCGCCTCGCCCTGTCGACCTCGTACTTCCCGACCATCTGGCCGTCGCCCGAGCCGACCACGCTGATGATCGATTGCGCCGCCTCCACGCTGGATCTGCCGGTGCGGCGGCGGCCGTCTCCAGAAAACCCAGATCCAAATCCGCTCGACGCCCAGCTCCCGGCCTTCCAGCCCGCCGTCAACGGTCCGCCATTGAACACCCACATATTGCGGCCCGCCCGCTCCAGCAACAAGGTCGTCCAGGACCTCAATTCCGGCATCGTCACAGTCCGCCTCGAGGAGGACGCTGGGAAGTGGGAGAGCCGCGAGTCCGGCTGGCGCTTCGGCAGCGACCAGACCATCGTGTGCGCCGTCCATCCCGATGATCCGCTGTCCGCCCGCGTCGAGCAGCATTTCCGTAAGGAATTCGGCCGCGAGGGCCTCGACCTGGCCGTGGCCGGCTGGGCGAAAATGGCCGCCTCTAAGACATACTTTCTCTTGACTGCTCACCTGGAGGCGTGGGAGCAGAACGAGCAGATCTTTGTCAGGGACTATGATTTTGCTATTCCACGAGACGGGGTTTAGGTTCAGCTTCAATTAAAGCTAGATTAACTTGGCCGTGAATAACTCGGCCTTGACCACTTCACTCGGCCCTTTCTTTGACCGTGCTTTTATGTACAGTACAGTACAGTACAGTTGCTCGCTAATACAGGCAGTCTGGATTTGTTTTGGAGCTTGTCCATGTTACTATTCGTGCACTCCGAGCACTAAGTCTGCCAACTAGGGACGATGGTACCAGTACAGCCAGGCTCGACCTGAATTCAAGTTTGACCATGTTTACATAACATGATCGCTAGCAAGTACAGCTCACAGGTTTGTATATGATATATCTCTATCAAACGTTGAAATGTTCGATATACAGCTATTCAAGGGGTAGGGGGCCCTAGACTATATAGATATGCCTATCGTGCCTATACCAGCCTTCTAGTTGAATTATAAGGCTGGCAATACCTAAGTTAGTGCCTAAGTTTGACAATCTCAAGGATAATAGTGACTATGACTACAGTATCAGCACTTTATAAAGAGAGGTCTTCAATGGTTATGTTAGAAGATACCCTGTTTGTCCGCAGTGATTCAGGGATTGGGGAAAGTTCTAGCTCTGGCCTTGATAGAAAATACATAGGCGTCGTAACGAGAACACTGTTGCAAGACTGGCGATGGGGATATCTACGGTCTATAGCGTGACAGTCGAAATGCGTGTGATATTCGGTTTGGGGTTATGTTTAACCATCTCCCTGTGATGGCTATATATTCAAATGTATAGATATAGATACTGTAACTCGCATAGCTGAGTTCTAACGTGTAGCTTCGAGTCTAGCTATTGAACCGCAGCCATTCTTTGTTCTGTCTGTGTCATGAGGTGCTCGTGGTGGTGGTGGTGGTGGTGGTGGTGGTGGTGTGAATGATGTTTCAACCAAGCGCACTATCTACACCAACACTGTAATCAAGCCAGAAGCACGACTTATCACATTCTAGACCCTAGTGTCGCAGTCATCTCCTGTCTCTGTCCCCTGTCACCTGTCCTGGTGGCGGGCGGCTCATATCAGATCAGATCAGATCATGTGATCGGCAGCGGTTCCGACGGCGCCGTCTTCCGTCTTCCTCTTCACCGGGTCGGCTCAGGGACCTCAGGGACGACATGCCTTGAAACGGAATGATATTGATGCTGATACCATCACTGCTATCTCTGATCTAGTAGCTGATAACAGATATGGAATGCAGATTGTTATCCACTGCCACTGGTACAGGGGGCGGAACTCCTGGATCAAGATAGATACGTGGGCCTTATAAAGAGAGTAGATCAAGGTAGATACGTGTGCCTTGTAAAGGGGGGTGGGAATGGAATGGAGACGGAGATGGAGACGGAGGTGGATGTGGATATGAACGCCATTCTTCTAGACGGCGATATGGTATCTACTACGCGGTAGGTAGCTCTATTCGACAATTCGGCTGTATACATACAGAGGAGCGTACTTTGTTACTGGGACTTGCTGATGGTGATGTTTCTTCTGGAATGAAAAGGACGGGAGAGGAAGGGAGGTGTCGTGTCGTGTCGTGTTGTGTCGTGTTGTATCGTGTCGTGGCTACATACAGTCCCAGTGCGGATGCAGACGGTCCAGACATGTTTAGACATACTGGGGAAGGAATAGAGCTGTCGGGTAGTCTGTATGATATCCATACTGTACGGATATCATGGTAGTGTCATTCTCACGTCAAGTGCACCCTCTCCCTCTCCCTCTCCATAGCAGTGTCATGTCGATGCCAGAAGGAATAGCAGCCAGCCTCAACTCTGATAGTGGACACAGATCCCACCGTCCAAACCAAACCGACACGTAATCTCGACTGTGGGCAGATGATGAGCTGTGTTGATGTGCCCATGCGCCTGATCTGATGTGACCCAGTCCAGGCTATTACAGTCCAGTCCTGTCCACATTCACCTCCACATCGACATCCACTCACTATCGATATCGAACTAACTGACTACTATCAACAGCAGAAGGCTGGGCCCAGCTCCCCCTCCCCCTGGTTGTTAGAAGTTCAACTGCACGGATTTCCCTAATTGTGGATGGTTCGAGTCGGGAAAAGGCAAGGCGTGGATATAAGTAAGATCCGGATTCATTGCCCATGCCTAGGTATGTATGTATCCTTCTGTCTATTTATTACTGTGCGGCTGATTGAGGACAGATAGCCTTAACGATCATCTGTGATATTGTGTACGGTCGTATCTGACTCTGTTATTGTGTACGGTTCTATCTCACTCTGATAGTGTGTACTGTGTTGCTTACTGCACCTCAGCCTACGCCTACGCCCACGCCCAAACATCCCTCCCTCATTTACCCCAGCGCCACACACCACATACCGCTCCTCCCTGAACCTAAGTATGGCTGCGACGAGGCTGGCGGCTTCTGCACCAACTCCCGCAGCTCCGCGGCCAGAAACAGTCTCGCGTCCCATCAAACCACTGCCCGCACACCTGGTAGAAAATGCTGCCACGACGGTCAAGGCTCCCTTCGACCCGGCAATCCATGTGGACTTTATGCCTCCCAAGGCAGTGGTCATGATGAAGGACATTGGACTGGAAGGTCACGGCATCTCTCCTGTCGCGGCGTCCGAGCCCTTTCGGCTGTTCACCGACGACGCGGTCAGGCAGTTCCGGGCCGAGATCTTCAGCAAGCCCGTGCTGGACAATTGTCAAGTGTCGTCCAATCTGGCCCCGAATATGATCCGCGCCTATGCTGCTGAGTAAGTATTCATTATTGAATCTCCTCATTCTGTGTCTGTAAATGCTGCCCTGCCTGCCCTGCCTTGCTCTGAAGTATCCCTACAAGTCACTGACCAGTCAATCTGTCTCAGCTACGGTCCATTTGCCTACAGTGTGTGGCATCACCCAAAAGTGCTGGACATCATCTCGAACGTGGCGGGCGTGGACCTTACCGTCGCGATGGATATTGATGTAGCACACATCAATGTCTCAGTCAATGATGAGGAGGTCTGTATCGCCGAGAAAAATACCGCAACCGGGACCGGGACCAAGACTGCAGCAGCAACCGCAACCGCAACCCAGACCCCAGCATTTGCGTGGCATTACGACAGCTACCCTTTCGTCGTGGTCACCATGCTGTCGGATTGCACGGACATGAAAGGAGGAGAGACTGTCCTTCGCACGGCGTCAGGAGAGACGATGAAAGTGCGCGGTCCATCAATGGTGAGTGTGACCTTTTGATACAAGTGTTGTGTGCAGGTACCATTACCGTTCATGTCGTGTCGTGTCGTGGGCACTTACCACTTGCCTTTCCATTCATGTATACCATATGCGTGCCGCCGGACCTCTGACACTGACATGCGTTTTCTTCTCCTTCCCTGACACTGACATACTTTTCCTTCTCCTCTAGGGCACTGCGGTCGTCTTGCAAGGGCGCTATATTGAACACCAGGCGCTCAAGGCCTGGGGAGGTCGGGAACGCGTGAGCATGGTGACCTCGTTCCGGCCCAAGTCGCCCTTCCTCAAGGACGAGACCGTGCTTGCCGGTCTCCGCGGCATCACCGACCTCAGTCTCCTGTATCATCAGTATGCTGAGTATCGCTTCCAAGTGTTGGAGACACGGTTCGGCCAAAAGCGACGCCAGCTGCTCGAGAGCTTCCGCCATGCCGATGCCGATGCCCGCAAATTTGACCTCCAAGGTATCCGGTCGTTTCTGGACGAGCAGAGGCAGTACATGGAGGATATGTTGAAGGAGCTGGTGCCGTACCCTTATTAAGGACACGTCACGTCGATGTCAAGCTCTGCCCGGACGTTGCTAATACATTTTTTCTGTGCCGTGAGCAGTGAGCAGAGCAGCATTATTATATATGAGTACAGAGTACAGAGTACAGAGTGCATTCATTCTCAGCAGGCACCTGATTTAAGAAAGTTGTGATTTAACTTTGACCGAGGACTTGTCCACTGTACTGTAATTGTGTCCCATCCGATCCGATCAGTACCGTACACCGTAGACGGCAGAAGTGGGCGGGCTGAAGACTGACGACTTGGCCTGCGATAAGGGGAAAAGGGATCCACTCAACCGCCAACCCCTGCCCCCCGGTTCTGTTCGCGTGCACATCTCCATCTCCATCCCGTGCCATGGTCTGATTAGGAGCAAGTATGTAATTAGTACGAGAAGTGGAAGTGATTGCCTCGCGTCCAGGTTGGGGAACTGGATCCCTAAACCCTACCTTACATTACTCATTAAGCCTTGTCTATCTGAATTATTCAGTGAGCCTTGTCCATCTGAGATATCATATCTAAGCTAGAGTCTACAGTAAGTACATACATACGACAGAGCGCTCCCGGCATTGGTTACCTACCCTCTAGTGATCGTGCATTGGTTACCTACCCTCCAGTGATTGATCTTGATGATATCTCATAGGTAACTGGTTCTTACATTTATATTTGATGATTAGTGCACTACATTCAAGCTACGTTCCGGTAGTCGTCGTCGGAGCTGGAGCCAGTTGTCTCGGTTGGCTTGTGTGACCATGCAATATTAATGCCATCCCGATCCCGATGCCTTCGTCGCCAGTGTTCAAGGTCATCCGACGCGTTGAGCAGGCCTGTGGAAACTGCAGGTCGGTTATCCTGTCCTGTCCTGTTCTGTCCTGTCCCTCTTTCTGTCTTCCCTTCCCTTTCATCCGGGCTATCGATCTCCCCCACCACTGATCCATCAGTGGCCCCTTGCTGAACTCCTGTTGAATCTGACCGTGATCTAGGCGCAAAAAGACACGATGTCCAGGTCAAAGACCGGCGTGTTCGAACTGTACTCGACTGGGTCAGCAATGTCTGTATTCCGGTGGCCAGAGCTCGTCGGCGCTCTGGCGGCGGGGAGGGTCTAGTCGAGATCTGGTATGTCGTGTCATGTCTTCTCTGTCTCTTCTGTCTCTTCTGTCTCTTCTGTCTCTTCTGTCTCTTCTGTCTCTTCTGTCTCTTCTGT